CGAATGACTGGACAGATATATTTACCACATCAACAACATCAACAGCATCAGGAAAAATGACATCAGCAGAAATTACATTAACAACAACAACAGCAACAACACTAACAACAACGTCAACAAAAGATACATCGTCAACAGAAACATCAACAATGACAACAACAACTCGCGAAACTCCGATAGGACCATCAAAGTTTAATTATATAAAATCTGTTTCGTTTGCTTCACCGTCAACAACAACAACATCAACATTAACGACAACAACATCAACATTAACAACAACAACAAAGGTACAATCTACAGAGATAATCCTCACTTTGAGGAATGGCGCTTTCAATATTAATAGCAGCAGCAGTAGTACAGTTTACAACACTACTACAACTTCAACAACGACATCATTATCATCACCAACAACAACATTAACAACGTCAACAAAATCATATTCTTTGGTAACATTAACCCCAACAAACACATCAGAATCATCAGTTTCATTACAAAAGTTAAAAGCATCACAGCTAACATCAACGGCAACATCAACTACAACAACAACAACAACAACAGCAGCACAACAACAAAATTTTCTATCGAAAAAGCACGTACCGTTGGATGTTTCAAGAAGTATAAACATTATCGCATCAACAGTTGCAGGTCTCAAGCAACAATCCCCCGTGCTTACCTCACTTACACCATCATTACCACCATCATCGTCATCACCACCATCATCGTCATCATTGTTTCAACCATCAACAAACGTTTCAACAAACTTGCTGATGACATCAACACAAATAACAACCGCAACAGTAATGACATTAACACCAACAATAACTAAAATTCCTCCAATCAAAGTTCCACGAGCCAACAAATTGATAAAGAAAACATCATCAACTACATCACTATCAGCAAAGACATCAACGTCTTTATCACCAGCAACAAAAACATCATCATCAACAACAACAACATTATCAGCCTCAGCAGCAGCAGCAGCCTCTTTAGCAGCGCCAACCCAGTATAATTTCGATGTTCCAATAGTTGACAACACAGCTAAACATAGGGAATTTTTTATCACGAAAATTAAATACACTAACAACAACAACTACAACAACATCATTAATAACATCATCAACAACAACAACTTAACTAACAACATTAGCAAAAACATATGGAACTTTAAAGACAAAGAAACTAATTATACTAACAACCGCAACAGCAGCAACGACG